CTGTTATTTACCCTGAGAGGAGAGGGATCCAAAAGTTTATATATTTCAACAACCTTGGAAGGAAATCATATATTTCCATAAGTTAAGACTTTACTAAAATGTTATGTTTTTTTTTGCTTAGAATTAAGTAAATTAAATGAGGAAATGCTAGACTTTTATGTTAACCATAAAGTAGTTATGTCTTTATTTAAAAATAAATCAATTACTATTTAATAAATCAGTTTAATAGATGAAATATTTTTAGGTAAGAAATCCATAGAAGAAGATTAGTAAAAATATATACAGAAGTGGGGACACCCTAGGTAGAACACACACTTTTGGCTGGAAAGGCCGTAACTCTGCAGTTTGGTACTTGATGTTGACCTTTGGCCTGATGTAAAAAGGACAGAGGTGTCAGTAGGAAAGTTTTGATTTAATGTTCTTGTTAAAGCTCTAACTGAAAAAATTTCATAATACTCCAACTTATGACATAAATGGAGATGGCCAATGCCCATTGCACCTTCCTGACAAGCAGGACACAATTAGCATTTAATTGAATTGCAGCCAACACAACCAACACTGTTTCCAGGCTTGAGATTTCCATTCAGACAAGCAGAGGTGGGAATGGAAACCACTCTTGGAAGCAGCATCCCTTGAGCTAGGGTTTTAGATGATGGAAAAAGTTTCTCTGATGAATAGACATTGAGAGATTGAGCAGATTCACATTCATCCTCAAAGCCATGGACCATTAAAGAGAACTGAAATATATGCTACATTCTGGGGTCCCTGTGACCAAGGTAGTATAATATAGGAGCAACATATCTTATATACCATCATAATTTCTAGAGGGCCCACACTTATCTACAGTTAGCTGATCTGAGCTCCATCAGATTTAAGGAGCTAAACTTTCTATCATGACCCAGACCTATAAATTTACATACCTTTTCTTCTCTCCTCATCCTGATCCTTAAATACACCTCCTCTCATGCCAAGCAGCTCTCTCCTCTCTTCTTCCCTTTGACACTATTCCAAAGAGAGTAACTTTCTAGGGCTGATGAAATACTCCACACCTGCTTGATTCATTGGCTCAGCTCAGTTTCTTCACCCATTACTATTCTGCTACCAACCCTCACCTTCCCCCTGCAAAAAACAACTAGGAAAAGAGGAAAAAAACCTCTCAATTGTCTGTGACCTTGTGACTTTTAAACTACTATTGTAGTTTAAGAGAGCTGGATTGTATCAGAGGTTTTCAAGTGTGCTCCATGGAGCCCTGGAAGTTCCACAGAGTTTCTTCAGGATTGCCACAGAAAGAATGGCAGCTAACAAAAGGCTTTGGATATATATCCTTTTTGACATCAGAGTAGCTATAAGCTTTTATTTTATATGTAGTTTCTGATTATTTTCACTTTATAACAGCATCCCTCAGATTTAAAAAGCCTGAAAACCGTTTAGCATGGCACACAACTACTCAAATCATTTGATGAATAATAATAAAAAAACCAAAGGAACTGGGATGATCTCTGAGATCTCTTCCCACTTTCGCCTTCTGTGATTCTGTAGTTGCTTACAGGAATTGGAGTCAAGTGGCACCCCTCTGCTTATCTGCAAAGGTACTGAGACTCTGCTTATTCTATCACACTAGGAGACAAAATGTGTCCCAGGCTGATTTTCAAAAACAATTCCTTGTAACCACTGGGTACAAGGATTCAATAGTTGGAAATTGGAGAACATCTTTGGCAAGTAGGAAAAAAGAGGTATATGTTTTAAAGGATTCCCAAGTCTGTGTTCTCACAGTAGCAGAGTGCAAATACAAGAAAAATGACAAAATAACAGGCAAATGACATCATTTTCCATTCAAAGACAAAATATAAATAACAAGGTCAAAAATATATCCTAGACCCTTTTGAAATTCTTCTGAGCAGCACCACTACAAACATCCCAACTTTATAGGTAATGAATTAAGGTGACTTAGACTTACTCTGTGATTTTGGGGTCCAGGTTGCCAATCCATAATCTGTGCCCTTCCTGTAGAGAGCCCTCTGAAAGGATGGATGCGTTCTCCAAGGGAAGAGTTTTGGTTTCTGCTTCCATCAATCTCTATGAAATACTAAAGGCAATGTGAACATTCAGGCAGGAGAGGAGCAACCCTGTATGAACATGAGTCTTCAAATTCACCCCAGCAAACATTTACTCAAGGAGGGCATGTCCTCCAGGCAGACTTTCTGAGGCCTCAGTTACTCCATAACAATGGCCCCAGAACCAGTTCCCTTGAGACAGCTCCTCCAGTAACTAGAGCACAGAAGCTGCCATTTCAGGTGAAAGAGGAGTGGCTGTGTGGAGAAATTCAAGCTTTCCTCCTCTGCAGCTAGAGGCTGACAGGGCAGGAGGCCAAAGTTTCTATTACTACATGACACTTGAGTTTAATGACTGTCACTGAAATAAGCTTTGGAAGAACATTAACACCACTGAAGAGGATGGTCAGAGAAGAGCAGTGTTATATCCCTTTTCCTCATGGAAGAAGCAATACTGCCAAAGGAAGAAGCAATATAGAAAAACTGCAGATTTTGGAGTTAGGACTGGTCTGAAAGCAGCTTGTGTGACTTGGTGAATTATCTGAACTTTCTATGATTCAAATTTCTCAAATATATTAATAGAGATGATAATTCTTATATTATAGAATTATTGTGAAGATTAAAGATAGTACATGAAAAAAGCCACTAAGCACTGTATCTACCAATAGTAAGTTATTAATATCAGTTATTATCCTGTTTAATATCCGGAGAGAAAGTGGGTTGAAGAGACTAATTTACCCCTAGTTATTCCAGTTCCACCATTTGCTAGTTGAGTAACTGGGTAAGTTATTTAACCACTTTTGCCTTGGTTTTCTCATCTGTAAAATGGGAATAATACCTCACTGAGTTGTGCAGATTCAGTAAGTTACAGGCCTAAAGCATTCAGAACAGTGCATGGCACCTAGGAAGCATTCAAGACTGGTAAATTATCACCAGTCTTAGTACCTCATGTTATGGCTAAGGAGAACAAGGATTTCGATGGACACAGCAATGGAAAGAGCAGAAAGCTTGGTGTCAGAACACCTAGCTTTGAACTGTGGCATTTCCACTGGAAGTTGCTTTTCTCTGAACTTGTTTCCTCATCTTTAAGTAATAAGCTTTGCCTTGCTTATAAGTTAAGGTTGCTGAGAGAACAAAAAATGAGATGACAGGTAAAAAGAGATAATAAATATATAATGTGATCCAAAAAAAAAAGAGGTAAAGGGGTTAGGAAGAGGGCAGGCTGTGCCAGACTTCAGAACTCCCTGCTAGAAAAAAACGTGTCCTATATATTCCAAAGGGCTCAGCACTGATATTGACACTGCCATTGCCTTTTATTCTTCTAAGTACACCCACAAAACCTAGCACACAGCAGTCCCTGGTTTAGCTGTTTGTTGAGCATGCTTATCTATTCCCTTCACACTAGGGTATTTTTCTTGCTTTTCCCACTCACATTTTTAACCTGTTCAGTAACATGTGATAAGCAATTATGAGCTGCTAAAGCCTGAGCCATGCACTGAAAACAAAGAAACGAATAAGCCACAGCTCTTGCCCTTACTTCCTGAGAGTAAGGTGATACAGACATACATAGAATCCCAGGAGTGAAAATGGGAGAAACATTTTGTCTTCATCCTGCTTTTGTTTCCCTCTATTTTCTCACAGTTCATTCCCCCCCCCCGCCCCCCAAAAAAATGAGTTTCAATTTTCTAGGTAAAGTCTAATTAATTATTGGGCAGTGAAGAAGAAAGTTCCTGCCCTCAGGATGCTTGTATTTGGAAGGAAATTAGATATAACTAGTGATAAATGCTGCAAACACAATTAATCTGGGTGTTCTGACATGGTTTTGGATTACCTTAGATTGAATGGAGAGGGAAGGCCTCTCTGAAGATGATGACATTTGAGTTGAAATTTGAATGATAGGAACTTCTAGTTTTTTCATGTCTAAAACCACCAACAAAACCAAAAGCTACTTAATAGTGCAAAAAGGTACTATGTTTTGATGGGAAGAATGCAAAATACAGGGCTGGAGAGATCTGGATTTGAATCCTGACTTTTGAACCAAGTTACTGTAATAAGTAACGTCATCTCTCCCAACAGAGTCTCCTTGATTCTGTATCAGTCACTTTTTGTATTCTCATATAATACGAATTCAAGGAGTCGGTTAAGGGCTTATTTTCTGTTACCCTCACTAGTAGCTAAGCTCAAAGAGAACAGGGCCTTGCCAATCTTGATTATGCACTTAGTACACTGCCCGGCAGCTCATGGCTGGTGCTCAATATTTAGTAAGTGAATGAATGCAACAAGGCACTTCTCCAGTTGAAGCCTCAGTTTCTGCTTCCTTCCTAGAATGGTACAAACATTCCTATCTCTGAGGTCGTTCTGGGCCTTAAGTAAGACCATACTGGCGACAGCTCAGCACAGGGTTTTTCGAGGAACAATAAGGTGTCATAAAAGATCAAGACGGCACAGGACTATCAAAATTCTTTAGAGCTGCAATGGTGATAAACCCTTAGGTTAACAGAGTTCACAGTCGACACCTGTCCTCCCAGCTGAGCAGCAACAACCCTAGTAAGCCAGTAATAGTTATTCAGGGAAACTCAACTCCAAAGAAGCAAAGGGACCTGCTCCCCCACACTAACAACGGCGTCAAGCCTGGAACCCGGCTTCCCAATTCTTGGCTGCGGATTCCCAGAGGCGAGAGGTTATTACTCGGATTGTTATTTCCGGGCAGCAGCAGGACAATCCGGGGCGGGGCCTGCGAGCCGTCCTGCCAGGCGGCCTCTTCTAAGACCTCCTCGCAGGGCTGCCGGTGAGGTGCAGGGACAGGTCGCAGCCGGACTCACCTGGTGGCCTCGGCGTTGTATCCTCAGCTCATGCCCCGAAAGCAGGTCCTAACTCCGGGTCCGACGGACGTGTAGCTCGGTCCGCTTCAACACCGCCCGCAGCCAAGGCCGCCCGTGACGCGATACGCCTGCGCCGCCGCGCTGCCCCGTGACGTCACGACGCCCGCGCCGCCGCCGTCGCCGCCGCTGTCGCACGAGGCTTGCCCTAGTAACCTGGGCAATAGCTGGTGAGTGGCCTCCAAGGGTCTCGCGGCGCGCGCAGGGCCCAGGTGCCAGAGACCCTTCTTCAAGGACCTAGGCCCTTATGGCACCAGACTCCCGCTCCCACCCGGTTCCAGTCCCGCCTGACCTTAAGGCGGGGGGCGGGACTTGTGGCTTCAGAGCGAGGCTCCCTGGTGGGAGCGGGGCTGTCTCATCAGCTAGGACTTTCAGGGTCGTCGAGGGACTTAACAATTAAGTAGCACACAACCTGACAGGAACATTTCATTTTCAGAACAGTCCCGTGGGAGAAGGTATTATTACTCTCCGTGATGAAGAAACGGAAGCTCGAAGAGATAACTTTCCCAGGGTCACGCGGTTGTTAAGTGATGAAGTATAAATTCAAACCTAGGGCTGACTCTAAACCTGAGCTTTTAACCACTACTCTCTGCAGCCCAGAGGAAGAACCCTGACACATTTTACAGATGAGCTTGAAGTCTAGAGAGTTTGACCAATCTAAGGTCACATATTTAGGAAGTGCTGGAAATGATTCTATTAGGTGTTGTCAAAATTTGGTGGCTTTTTCTTTATTAATCACACTCTATTATATTTCCCAGGATCTAGCAGAGCTTTATAGATGAAAACCTAGCCTGACCCTCCTTCATTTTGTAGTTGGGGAAATAAAGTCTAGGGAGGAGAAATAATTTGGTCCAAGGAGTGATAGAGCTGCCATAGATGTTTTTTTTGAATACAGGTTGTTGTGGATCTAAAGGAGATGGATGGCAGGGAGTGCTGAGGTAGGAAAATTGAAATCCACATCTCATAGTACTTGGGCACAAGTTCTTCACTTGTTAAAATTTCTAAATTCCTTTTTCAGCTGTACCAAGGACATAGTGATTCTGTGTAGAGTCATATTACGAATATATTTCTTTACATGGCACTGAATTTAAAGAAGAGCATGCTCTACTCTCAGCAAAAACCTGGCAAACCAAGGGATAATGGAATTAGTTCTTGGAAGTAGAACCCAGGACCTACCATCAGAGTAATTCCAACTTTGGTGCCAGGGTTTTGACCTTGGATAAGGATTTACTCTTTCTGGGCTTTCATTCATGTTTTCATCATGTAGATGGTATCTTCTGTGTTCAGGCACTGTGTTAGGCATGGAGGAGGATGCAGAGGCAAACAAGACTGCCATAGTAGTGCTTTGTAGTGCATGTGGCCATCTGGAGACCTTTAGACAATAATAAAGTAATTACACAAATGTTAACTTGTATCATGGAAAGTTAAATGCTATCATGAGGGTGTTATGAAACTGGGATATAGGACCTGTGACCTAATTGAGTAGGAGGAGGTGGCCAAGAAAGACCTTTTGTTTTTTGGTACTAGAAATTTAGCCCAGGGATGCTTTATCACCAAGTCATATCCCAGCCCTTTTTATTTTTATTTCATTTTTTGAAATTATCTCCCTAAGTCGCTTAGGACCTTGCTAAATTGTTGAGATTGACTTTGAACTTGTGGTCTTCCAGCCTCAGCCTTCTAAGCCACTGGGATTACAGGCATACACCACCACACTCAACAGGAACACATACTTTGAGGAAGTGATGGTTAAACTGAAGTCTGAAAGAAAAATGGGAGGTAAATAGGTGAGGGAAGATCATTCCAAGCAGATTCAGTGGCATATTTGAAGATGTTGAGTCATGAAGGAGCCCCTGAGGAAATGAAAGATCAGTTTATTTGTAAAATGTGATTTGTAATCAAATATTATAATGTGAAAGAATTTTATATACAGGGGTCAGTTTATACACACATATTTATAAAAAATGTGCAAATTGTAAGTTAATAGATTAGAAGGGATTGTTGGGACAGTGAATGGGTCAGGAGTTGAGTTCATTATCTAGTTCTTTCCAAAATTAAAATGTACCTTCTCCAAAGAACAGGGAAATTTGAGTTTTGAAACCCTCAACTTTGGGAAAGAATGCATTTTTCACATAGTTTGAAAATATTGCAGAAGTTGAAGTAATGTAATAGCTAGCTACTCCTTATTGTACTCCTGCTGGAAGCCAGATATTGTGTTGAGTGTTTTATGTACACAATATAGTATAATTGTTAAGAGCATAGACTGCAGTATATTGCCTGAGTTCAAATATGGGTCAATTTATTTGAGCCTCTTTTCTCATCTGTAAAATGGTAATAATCACTAATTATAGCTTGAGATACTTACATCTTGAGATTCAGAGGAGTTTATTAAGTACTTGGAATGATTTCTGGTCACTATATAAATGGTTATTTGTTCTTATTAATATAATAATTATGTTAAAATGTCATTAATATTTTAATGTGGTGGAATCTGTAGCTCAGAGAAGTTAAATGACCTACTTAAGGTCACACATTTAATAAGGGGAAAAATGAGATTCCAGTTCCAGACTATGTCTGAAGCTTAGACACTTTATATTGCTTCTGTATATGGGTTAATTTTGTTGAATAATATTTGTACTCTAATAACAAGCTTCTTTTCTTAACTTGAATTCTGTATCTGTGCTGAACTGAATGTTAATATGCATGTCCATAAGGTAAAAGAGCCAAGCGACTGCCTCTTTGAACCTCCACTTCCAAATTTCCTGATTTCTATGCAATTAAGATCTACGCCTTAAGCATTTCAGCAATGTGGTTTATTTATAGAATTGTTTTCCGGTTCACGTGTACTGGGTCTGCTTTTGGGTGCTGCATTTTCTGTCAAAGGTTGTTTATTTCTAACCCATTTTGATTTCCTGTTGCTTTGTGGATTGGTATTATGACCTGCAACAGGAACACCAGGAAACCAGTCATAAATGGAGCAGCCAGATTGAGACCCTGTAGATTTAAAAAAAACCAAACAAGTTATTATGCAGCCATATTTGGATATAAGTGTGAGTTAGGCATTGGCTATATTAGGCAAAAACCTAGATATAGAAACCTTACTCCTAGCCAAATTTTTGTGAACAGTTCTTCAGTAGAGCTAGGCTAATAGCTCCGTGTTCTTAGATAGTAACAACCTCACTGAGCCTCAGTTTCAAGATCTGTAAAATGGGGAATGTTATACTTCATTTGTAGCATTATTGACCGGTAAAATAAAAGGATACGGATACAATAAACAGCCCAGGCCAAACCACAATGAATAGAAGCCATTGATGACAAAGAAGAAGAAAAAATGCTACTTCATTTTTCATCCAGATCTATTTGTACAGACTTCATACACTGATTGCTGAAATCTGTATGACTTGCTATTGCAAATTCCACCAGGAAAAATTAAGTGCCTTTGAACTAATTTGCTTTCTTAAAAAATAATGATAATAATGACAGCCACATTTATTAAGCAGCTGTCATATTCTGTGCATTAGCTATGTGTTTTACATGCATTCATTATTTTAAGATCATAGTTATTTTTCTCATTGATGAGGAAAGTGATGCCCTTCTCCCCCCAAAAGAATGAATTACCCAAAGTAGAAATTTGCATCCAAGTCTGTCTCAGGGCCTCCTTTCAGATCAGAAATAACATATGTATAAGATTTCTTTACTGAATCTGACCTTGGAATAAATGTCTTTGAAAGGAAAAGTGATAGTTATTAATAGATACCATTTTGGGACTCCTGCTGTCTGCTAGGTCCTTGCCAAGTATTTTACCTGACTAACCTCATTATTCTCAATTCTAAGAAATAAGCATAATTATCCCAATTTTACAGTAGAGGAAATCAAGGTACAAAAACACTCAGGAACATTTAGTCAGTAGTGGAGCTGGGATTGGATTTTGGGCCTTTCTTGCTACGAAGTTCTTGCTTTTTTTATTCAGTCTAATTATCATAGTGCATCAAAATTTGAGGATGTGTAGAACTGATTTTCAAAGATAGTAGCTTCCAGATATTTGATGGTAATTGTTTAGCTGAGTGATAGCCAGATTCCTGGCAGAAGCTATTAGAGCTCCATTTGTTGGCTAGGATTGTGTTCTGTTTCAGAGGTAGTTGAGGGAATAGCATCTTTCCATGGTCAAAGACCTTAGAAGTACATTGTGTAACTTTTTTTTAACCCGGTGGAGGATGTCATTTAGCAGAGCTTTAGTTCTATACCATGGGAGACCTGAAACCTCAATCATGCTTCAGACTCACATTAAAGTAAAGTGCATTCTAATTGGTAATCAGTGCATAAGGAACCAAAGAAAATTTTAATTAAATGCTGTCGTGTAAATTTTCCAGTCATTTTATGCCTGTTGAAATGGTTTTCTTATTTAGTTTAAAGCCCTCTTCTAGTACTCCCCCCCTTCAACTTTATCAAGATTTTGTGCTTTTCCTCATATAAGGGTTTAATTAGCTTCATTAAAGATTTGTGTTGCTGCACATTTGCTTAATGGAGGCATTTTGGGCTGTCAAAAGAACTTAGGGTTCAGAGTCCTACAAACTATGGGCAAGTTACTTAAGTCTCATATTCTTAATCCTGTAAAAGGAGGCTAATATTTCCTTGTATGGCTGTTAGAAGGAAGGTTAGAAATAATGTGTTTAATTTGCCTAGTCTATAGCTGAATTTATAGCTTGATAATTGGTATGAATTATTTTCTGAATTTGCAGTAGCATCACTTTTACTTAGGTCTACTTTATGTATTTATTTATCTTTTTTTTAGTGGATATTCACAGGAATTGTCTTCAGTCATGGCTTTGGGATTAAAGTGCTTCCGCTTGATGCATCCTGCCTTTTGCAATTACCTTGCAGCCTTGACCAGACCTGTTTCAAATATTACACTGAAGACAGTGAGTGGAAGACAACATGACCATAAGCAACACATGGCCTATCCAGCTGTACTAGTTCGCCACTTTGCAACCAAGAAAGCCAAAGGTAGAGATACATGAATCCCTCTCCCTCCTAGTCATTTTCTTATATTTGGCAGTTGACTTATCATGACTGGCAAGGATCTCAGAGATGTACTGAATTTCTCCCCTTAATCCATATGAGGTAATGATATCTCAAAACAGTTCAGATGATTAGTTTAAAAGGTCACAGTGAGAGATTGTTAGAACCCAGGGCCTGTTTTCTTATTATCATGCTGGTTCATTTATTTTCTTGGTGGCTCAAAAAATGCTCAATTTATTTATTTAGTTTTTAAACTTAGAATTAGAGATAGAAGTGCCCAGAAAACTAGAATGCTTATGACGGGATCAATGAATTCTCTTCTTTACGGGAAGATGCATGTTGGAAGTATAATTAAAACCAGAAGGTTTTTGGTGAAGGGGGTATTAAACCATGGAGTTAGATGGATGATCTTAATGGCTTGTGTCATCCAAGAATGAGATTTTGATGTACCGCAGGTCTTAGCTTAAATGCCACTTCCTCAGGGAAGCCTTCCCTGACCTCTTAAATTAGGTCAGTACCCATTACATGTACTTGTGCACACAGTTATTTTACCTCTGATGCACTTAGAAGAGCAATCATTAATTAATTGCTCAATCATAAGATTTATTTTTATTTGTTACCTGCCTTCCATATTGGATCCAATGAAGATAGTCTCTTTCTTTGTTATTTAACACCTAACAGGGCCTGACACATAGTATATATTAAAATATTTTGTTGACTGAATGAAATGAGTGACAGAAAATTGTCAAGCAGACCAGCTTTTTGCAGTGGGGGGTCGGGCAGTCCACTCCCAAGGATGGTGCTAGAAATATGCTGAATATTTTCCCTCTGACTTTCCTTTTCTGGTTTCATGCAGACCTTCTCCTTTTTGTTGGAAGGAAAATTAAATGCTGAAAGAGCTTTAGTGCTTAAAAGACTTATATTCTGATAAGAGTGATAATTAGCCACAACATTTGATTTGTATTTATTGTATTACATATTTTTAAAAGTTACCATGCATTTATTTACTCATTCAATCCTTATGCAGTAAAAGAATTATAATTTTCTAGTGAATTGAGATCACATTATTCTACAAATGAGAAGACCAAGGTACATTTGTAAAAATAATTTGCCTGTGGTCATATCTAGCTAGTGGGTGAACTACAAACCTGGTGTTGCAGCTTTAGACTCTACCACAGTCTGTCAGCAGCATCTTTGCATAGTCTATAGTCTGCTCAGTTCCATCTCCTTTGATTGCCTCCTTATAAGATTGCTTGTTTGACTTTTTTTTTTTTTTTTAGAGAGAGAGAATTTTTTAATATTTATTCTTTAGTTTTCCGCTTTGTTTGTATGTGGTGCTGAGGATCGAACCCGGGCCGCACGCATGCCAGGCGAGTGTACTACCGCTTGAGCCACATCCCCAGCCCCTGACTTTTTCTCTTAGATTTATTGGAGTCTTTCTACATTAGGGATACTAATTCTTTGTTGATTAAATTTGTTACAAGTATCTGCTTTGCTTTTTACTTTGTTTCTGGTATCTTTGTTGAACATAAGTTTTAATGGAGTCATAATTTTTAGTCCTTTCCTTTATTATTTGGGCTTTTTATGTGTTCCTCAAAAAATGCTTCCTATCCCAAGGTGATTTGTTTCTGAATATGGAGTGCATTGAGAAATCTAATTTTAAGTTTCTTTTCCATAGGGGACACAGACTGTGTCACCATCACTTGATGTAGCCCATTCTTTTCTCCAGATTTGTAATGCCTTCTCTGTTGAATGTCAGGTTTCTTTGTATGAATATTTTTAATTTTGGAGCTTTTATTTTGTTGAATTACCTTTCTCTCCCTGCACTACATTCCTTACTACCTGAATCACTGTCAGAAAGTCTTGATGTAGTGGTACAGATCTTTCCCTCCATCAGACATATACTTTTTCTTCTTGGCTTTTTGCTCTTCTATATGAAATTTATAATCACATTGTCAAGTTTTCACCAGAAATATTTGCACAATTTTTAATCAATATATTTTTGTTAGTAGTATAATATTTTTGTTACTTTTATGTATGAAACATTTAAAAAATTTTAGTGATAACATATATCCAGAAAAGTGCATTCCTAAATTGTAAAGTGTGTAGTTCATGAATTGACATAAAATGAATACAACCATGTAACCATCACCTAGATTAAGAAATAGAATGCTGCTTATATTCTGGAAGCTTCCCTCATGTCCCTTTCATGTCCCTTTCACCCTCTGAAAGATAGATTACTATATTGATTTTAACATAGGATAGTTTTATTCTTTTCAAGCTCCATGGATTCTTTTTTTATCTGGCTCCGATAACAGTCTATTTGTGGGATTTGTGAAACAGTTGTTTGTGCATTTTCCTTTCTTTGTAGTCTTCTGCTGAATGCGTATACCACAATTTTTGTATCCATTCTATAGTTGATGGACATTTGAGTTTGCTTTTAGTTTTGAGCTAAAATAAATAAGGCTGTT